GCGTAGTATACCCAATTATGTGCATGTAATAACGCTTGGACAAGTTCAAGGCAAATTCACAGCTGTAATTTATATTTTTTATAATTGAAAACTAAACTAAAATATTTTTATCATGGTTGCATAGCGACGGAAACACGTGAAACAATAGGCTTATGCCCAAGATCATAAGATTGGTGACTTCTGTCCTAATCCCAGATTGCAAAATAATGTTTATTTTCACTCAGCAAAAACCTTTTAACGTAAACCTACAGAGGTTTGTCATATGGTTTACGTGTAAACCTTCTGACCTTCAAACGAGATCTGTGCCAATCTGCTCTATTCTACCCACATTACCCTAATACAAAACCTTGGAAAACAACCTTAAATTGAGGTTGACTTAGGATTTTCAAATATGAAAACATCCTTTAATAAAGCTAGTCTCAAGATGAAAATAATCTTAAATCTAGGTAATTATAAGGTTTCTTTTCGCAAATTTTTGTATGCTGAGCTAAAATCCACCTTGTCTTGAAATTTTAATGAACAATTTAATTTGATCCTATCGCTAGTGTGACGTCAGCTCAAACATCAATATGGATCTAAGTGACAATACTTTTAAAAAAAGCTTTAAAAAATATTTTTTTTTCATCCTATTAGAATGAAAGGTTTGAAACTATAATATTTTTGCTTTATAGAAAAAAGGTTTTTAGTACAAACATTTTTGTGATAATAAAAAGAAAGTTCCGATACAAGGTTGCATGCTTTCTGGAAATATTTTTACATAGAGTTCAAATTCAGCATTATTTACATTGTATGATGCATTTCCTTTTGCTCATATTTAATCTAGTAGAAATTTTTTACCAAACTAATATTAAAGCTTTTAAGTACAAAGTTTCCAAACACCTGACGATATTTTAGAAACATTCTATATCTGAAAAATAAAATGGAAAAGGGGAACGTGTTATAACACAAAACTCAATAAGTACTTTCCTAAAAAGAAAAACAATGTTATTCTTAAATTGCAGCAAGGAACATTTCAAAAGGCGCAGTATAATTTATTTAAAATCATCAGAATCGTGCAACGTCAACAGGTGAGATAAAACTTCTTTGTTCTTATTTCCCCCCACTTTCATCAATGGCGAAATGTTGGCTATCATACTTGTTGCCATAGCAACTCAAGCAAAAAAAAAGTTGAGTAGATTTCAGCATTGGCAATCGTCTGCAGAAAAGTGTGGCTGCGGCAGGTGCAAATGATGGCTACATAAAATCAAGAACTATTCCCACTTACTTCAACGGAAATAAGGAAACAAAAGGGATTTTTTTTTATCCCTTCCCGTTCCGTTGAAACAAAAAAAAAACCTCCTGAATCTCATCCTTTCAGCATAGCCTATTTCGGATTCAAATAACTGCGTTTTTTTGTTTTTCTGTTACTTTTATGGCCTCCGTTCAAATTTGTCTTATCAAAATATGCATAACTTTTATATATTCCACTTTGCTTTTCATTTTTGTACTGAATAAGCGAAAAATCTCTAAAACACCTGTTACCGAAATATTTTCAGTTTAGTGCTCAAAAGAATGTTAAAATAAAGCAATGAAAAGGAAATACTTGATTTAATTTTCTGAATTTTGTTTCAAAGTATTTTATTCGATGCGAGCAATCATTTTTAATGAATTGTGTAAATGAATTTAAATTAGAATTAAAATTGAGCACTCATTTAAATATGACACATATCAAATTTCTTCTGGGTGTTAAAAGTTTCTCTTTATATTAGCTATTTATGGAAGAGTGATTGATCTTAAATATTTTAATAAATTTAAACTGTTCATAATTTTTGCGTTTTAACTTTATTTATATTTAAGTTTTTATTGCGAATTATTTTAGGAAAGAATATAATAATAAGAGTATAATTGGATTTAAAATAGGGAAACCTGCACTAATATGAGATGAAAATATTATATTCTAACACTTTTCTTACAATTTTCGAAAAATTTTGCTCTAGTAATTTATTTAAAAAGGGCACATTTAAACTTTTACCACACAGAAGAACTAAATATTAATTATTTCCTTCGTATTTAAGTGCATGGCATGTAAAATTAAACTAATTGAACGTAAAATAGTTCAGTCAAATTATCATGAATGGCTACAAAAGGTAAGGTAGTTTTGATTTCTTGATTTTTTGTATTGGTTGTATTAGTTTTCCAATTCTTCTAACCACCGCGTGCGCCTCTATTTTTAAAAAAGACTACTAAATTATTTTCCCTTTTTTCCAAATATCTCCTCAAGTATTGATCTTAAGTAGAATATATAATTTGTTATTTTTTACTTAACTAAATTACCTGCAATCTGAGACAAATATAGAGCTTGCTACTTTAATGCTTTCCAAGAAAGAGTTCTTTGAATATTTAGAATTTTTCATAAATATATGAATTTCTGTAGGTATTTCTGGATTTCAACTAAATGGTGAATTGTAAGACAAAGTTCGGTGAGTTATTGTTCTATGTTAACTAAAAGGTGAATTATACGATGAAGTTTGTCAGAATAACAATTGGAGTAGACATAATCTAGATTATTATAGATCCCGAGACACAGTATTTTAGAGCATTTTCAATGATGATATTTATTAAAAAAAATACATTAAAAATGATACATACTTATTATGCCGCACGTAATAATTTTTGTCAAAGCTGAAGGAGTTAATTTTTATGCCTTTTTTAAGAGGTCTTGGGGATATATTTCACTAGACCTCAAGTCTAAAACCGGAGGAGGATGGTCTGGGATGGTTTCGGAGCGTTTTTCTTATCATGGATTGAGCCCGCCCACTAACGTGAACCACCATGTTTATCTTTACATTCTGAATGCTTGCCTATCAAGTCAGTATGTTCATTGTGAGTATACTGTCCTCTATTTTTACGAGAGGACAAAATTCAACAGGTTTGAAGAATTGTGAGACTTTATATGTTCCTAATACATCTGGCCTGCAAAATCACCTGACTTGAACCATGTGGAAAATCTGTTGTTGGAACAGCAATTAAAACGCCGAAATCAGCATCGTCAGTTGATTTACACATCCAATCCTAAGTGAGTGAATTAAACTAGGTGCCTTGTGGGCAGGTTTTCTGTCCAAAGCAACGTAGTTATCCAGTCCAGAGGCAGAGTTACCAGGCATTAAATAATGGTTAAGTAATGAATCACTAGTTTATGGTCTAAAATTGGACTAAAGTTGGAGACAAAACAAGCATCCTTCTTAAACTTCAACTTATTTCAAAGTACCACGACGTTCATCTTCAGGGGATACCATCACACGTTGACATCTTTGACAATGAGCAAGCGGATCGCTTGACCAAGGAGGGCTGTAGTCATTCAGCACCTTTGTCCTTAGCCCTTACCTACTCAGAGAATCAGTCCAAAATCAAAAGAGTGGAGGATCCCCCCCTCTCATAACTGGTATGCGGCCAAGGAACCGGGCTCTTCACTTGTTCATATAGGTGATAGAGTGTCTCAAACAGCAATTTCCAGATTGGCAAGTGGACACACGAATAGTCTCTCGTACTTTGAAGGAAGAAAGACTTATGCAGTCTGCTCCAAATGTGAAGCCCAGCAGGCCTCTGCCGAACATATCCTTGACTGCTTGGGACTTTCCAAGGAGGACTTAACGCTACTCCACTTCTTTTCATCGACTTTTTGAGGGACAACAACCTATTGGTTCTTGTCTGGTCAGACAATTGGAGGATAAGAAACAACAACAAGAGTAACAACAAGGCGGACTTATACGCTACTCCAATTCTATTCATCGACTTTTTAAAGGAAAACAACCTATTGGATCTTGTCTGACTCCGTCAGACATTTGGACAATAAGGAACAACAACAACAACTTAGTAGTATCGAAAACTTGTATATAACCAAATAAAGAACGTTTTCCGTGTTTTGTTAAGTAAATTGTTTTTTTTTTCTTTAGCTTTGTTGAATTCTATTCTATTTGTTGAAGAGTTAATAAAATCGAATTTGTTAAACATTAAAATTTAAAATACTACCTTAATAAAAGTATAAAACGCTTCATTTCAATTTTTTTTAACATAACCATAAGTATTGAAATATTTTAAAAATACAAAATACCCTTTTCTGGCATAAAATATATTCTGAATATATCCAAAAAAAGAGAGAAGATTTCAACCAAAGGGAATAAAAAATTGCCTTTTAATCCGCTTATATTTTTTCCTTATCAAATTTCCCATCAAAGATAACGAATCCTCGAAATCTAAAAGAGGTATAACTCTAGATTGGGGAAAAAAAGAACTGGAAAAAAAAAGCTTTAGTTTCTTTTTTTTCTTTTTTCATTATAAAAATAAATCGTTATCTGGTAAAGGCATACTAATAAAGGAATAAACGGTGGACTGCATACAAGAATTTCATATTTCTTCATAACTTTTTTTATATTGCTATAACCAAAAAAGGTCTTAAATATCGATCTTTTTTGTTTCCTCTCTTCTTAGATCATTTTTTCTTAAGTAGTTTGGAAATAAATTTGAACTTTTTGCTACGGGATTAAAAATTTATTTTAATATCTTTTTCATTAAGTTTGCTTAAAAGGAAATATCACTGTAAAATTTTCAGATAAAAATTACTTTTATTATACAGAGCGCACCATAATCACTGTCCTTACTAACATGACAAACTCGGTCAGGTAAGTAGTCACCATCATTAAATTTCAATAAAAAAATTTTAAAAAACTATTTCTAAACAATTTTCGATAATAATAACAGGAAAACATGAAATTAACATAATTTAGATTAATATAACTATCAGTTCAAAATCACAATGAACTCTTCAATTTTCGTTTATTTCAGCTCGTTAATTTCACGTTAAGTAATGAAATAGAGTTCTTGTGAAATAATGACTCGAAACTAATGTCTCCAATCTACACACGCAGTTGAAATATTTAAAGCTTAGGAATACTATTGTTTTAATGTCGCTTCAGAACTAGCTGGACTGGCTTGAGAATTGTTATGAGAGGCAAGCATGGTAAGCACTGGTGGTTCAGTGGTAGAATGCTCGCCTCCCAAGCGGGCGATCCGGGTTCGATTCCCGGCCAGTGCATTGTATTTTAATGTTTTATTTGTTGAAGTCGTAGAGAATACACAGGTGCATTAAGTGAGTAAGAACGCTTCAATTTTCGTTTATTTCAGCTCGTTAATTTCACTTCAAGCAATGAAATAAAATTCATGTCAAATAAAGACTGGAAAGTAATGTCTCCAATCTACACACACAGTTGAAATATTTAAAGCTTAGCAATACTATTGTATTAATGTCGTTTCAGAACTAGCTGGACTGGCTTGAGAATTGTTATGACAGGCAAGCATGGTAAGCACTGGTGGCTCAACGGTAGAATGCTCGCCTCCCAAGCGGGCGATCCGGATTCCATTCCCGGCCAGTGCATTGTATTTTAATGTTTTATTTGCTGAAGTTGTAGAGAATACAGAGGGGCATTAAGTTAGTAAGAACGCTTCAATTTTCGTTAATTTCACTTCAAGCAATGAAATAAAATTCATGTCAAATAAAGACTGGAAAGTAATGTCTCCAATCTACACACACAGTTGAAATATTTAAAGCTTAGGAAAACTATTGTATTAATGTCGTTTCAGAACTAGCTGGACTGGGTTGAGAATTGTTGTGAGAAGCTACCATGGTAAGTACTGGTGGTTCAATGGTCGAATGCTCGCCTCCCAAGCGGGCGATCCGGGTTCGATTCCCGGCCAGTGCATTGTATTTTAATGTTTTATTTGTTGAAGTTGTAGAGAATACAGAGGTGCAATAAGTGAGTAAGAACGCTTCAATTTTCGTTTATTTCAGCTCGTTAATTTCACTTCAAGCAATGAAATAAAATTCGTGTCAAATAAAGACTGGAAAGTAATCTCTCCAATCTACACACACAGTTGAAATATTTAAAGCTTAGGAATACTATTGTATTAATGTCGTTTCAGAACTAGCTGAACTGGCTTGACAATTGTTATGAGAGGCGAGCATGGTAAGCACTGGTGGTTCAATGGTAGAACATTAGTAGTCGTAAACTCGAAATTCGGTTGGCTGTTCAATGACTATTATAAAATAAACTAATAATTTGGCCGGGATAGCCTGTTTGGTAGGGCGTTGAACTCGTGTTCGTGAGAATTGGATTTCGAATCCGAAGAATACCCATGTATAAAATGGTGACTGGTGCATGTTAAATCTGCCGTGGTCACAAAGTCCTCTAAGTTCTCACAACAAATCAATACCTCTGGGTACTGATCCAATTCTCTTGTCTTCTGGATTGAGTTCAGAATTATAAGATTATTATTCAATATTATACGGAGTTAAACATTTGTAATCGTAAACTCAAAATTAAGTCGGTTGTTCAACGGCGGTTATAAAAAAAATGAAACTAATAATCAAATTGTATTTTCTTATGTTCTTTCTAACTCCTTGCTTATTTTTGACACACCTTCATAATTTCATGTTTCTAAGTCATAGAGGAGCAAAGCGAAACGCAACGTTAAAAAAAAAAATCGTAAAAAATAAATAAATAAGTAAATAAATCATTTAAAATTCCAAATAACATATATTCAGAATTTCAAGAAAAAAAAACTCTGTTAAACATATAATGGTTCTTCTAACATGCCAAATCTTTACTGTGTTCTTAAAATGTGCTTATGATGTTCTTAAAATGAGTTTCTGTTTTTTTTCTCGTTCAAAAAATATGTGCAATAATAGAAAGGCTCTACATTATAGTCCCATCACAACCAATATATTTAACAATCAAGCAATATTATCAAATTTTTAATAATATAATGTTAATATTCAGCAATAAAAAATACGACAGTTTACTTCAGGTGTATAGAAATAGAATTTAACTTAAAAGGGCCCCATCATTTTCAGTAGCTTAGGGCCCCGCCAAGCTTAAATCCGGCCCTGGTTCAATGGTCGAATGCTCGCCTCCCAAGCGGGCGTTCCGGGTTCGATTCCCGGTCAGTGCATTGTATTTTAATGTTTTATTTGTTGAAATTGCAGAGAATTTTTACATTAAATGAGTAAAAACGCTTCGATTTTCGTTTATTTCATTTCGTTAATTTCAAGTCAAACAATGAAATAAGAGTTCATGTCAAGTAATAACTCAAAAATAATGTCTCCAATCTACACGCGCAGTTTAAATATTTAAAGCTTAGGAATACTAATGTATTAATGTCGTTTCAGAATTAGTGGGACTGGGTTGAGAATTATTTTGAGAAAAAACCGTGACGCGCACTGGTGGTTCAATGGTAGAATGCTCGCCTCCCAAGCGGGCAATCCGGGTTCGATTCCAGGCCAGTGCACTGTATTTTAATATTTTATTTGTTGAAATTGCAGAGAATTCATGCATTAAATGAGTAAGAACGCTTCGATTTTCGTTTATTTTATTTCGTTAATTTCAAGTCAAACAATGAAATAAGAGTTCATGTCAAATAATGATTCAAAAGTAATGTCTCCAATCTACACACGCTGTTGAGATATTTAAAGCTTAGAAGTAGTATTGTAGTAATGTCGTTTCGCAATTAATAGGTCTAAGCACGGCACACATTTGTGGTTCAATGGTTGAATGTGTTCTCCCAAGCAGTTGATCCGGGTTCCATCCTTGACTAGTGTACAGCCGGGGATAATTTTTTTTTTTTTGAATCTGTAGGGAATTCAGAGCTTAGCTAAATGATAATATATTTTTCGTTTATTTTAGTTAGTTAATTTCACGTCAAGTGATGAAATACGCTTGGTCAGAAGAAAACAAAGTACGCTCTTTTTACGATAAAATGAAATGTCTCAAGTGATATGATTTATGAACGAAAGGAAAAGATCTTCATCCTGAAAAGTAACATCTGCAATCTGTAGTTGCAACTGAAAAAATTTATATTTAGATATATTTTTGTATTGGTATCGTTTGATAATCGGTACTTCCAGACACTATATAACATGCAATATTATAAGAAAAATTTATTCATTTACCGTTTCACGATTATTAAGTGGTATAATTTTACTTATTTTTATGTTAAATGTTATACTAAACTATGTCCCGTCATCATATTTTTTTAAAACTATAAATAAAACTGAGTGTTAAAAAATAGTATAAAATATCAGGAATTATCTTTTCATACCGTTGCTAAATTATCGTTTTGACGAAAGCTTTTAGTAAGTTTTGATGCAAATGAGAATTGAATACAAATCGTAGAAAACAAATTTGCGAATGAAGTTTCAATAGTAAGCGAGTGAAATTATTACTTTATATCTTATCTCAATAGTATTGAGAACATTAGCTGAAGAATTAAATCTTTTTTCTGCTATTAAGAACTTTTCAAGTCTTTAAATAGATTAATTTTTAATTTTGATGTAATAGTCTGTTTATCTTTGATGAGCTTAGCAACTGAGGTACCTACATCTCAAGAAGAACACTGAAATAACATGATACATCTATTAGTCCAATTAAATCTGAATCGAAAATTGATTCAGCTTGGTAATAAACTAATTATTACCAAGCTAAATCAATTTTCGATTCAGATTTAATTGGACTTCTGGAAGCGATGTCACGCGTTGGGGCTGATTGGCTACTGAATCGTTGCATAAACAAATGCCATGTTTTACTCATGATTAAAGATGCCTTCATGTATACAATTGGATACCTGCAAGGGACGTCATCGTAGATAAGTTGCAGCATTTGAAAAGTTTAAACTTCTTTAAGCCATTACCACAGACGAAGTCTCTACCACCACAAAACAGACTTTTTGTCTTGTCAGATGATCTCGTCTGCTTTTAAATGAAAAGAAAAATGCAAACTATAATTTTCTAAACGAAATTATTAAAACAAGATAAGAAACCGACATTTTGTATGAAGGATTTCCATTTTTGATGAATGTTAGAACAATTGTTTATTTAAATATTATTTTTTATGTTTTCGTTATAAACTAATTTACTCCAAATTATGTTAAAGTAAGAGTAGATAATATTTATGCAAATTGAAAATAACGATAAGTGTTGTTTTTATAATAATTATTAATAAGATGCCTGCAAGTGACGTAATCGTAGGTAAATCGTTGCATTTGTCAATTCAGAAACCAATCAGGTTCGACCCACGTGGGTGACGTCCGTTACAAGTATCCAATTAAATCTAATTTAGCTGTAAGTACTCAATCGTGGATAACAATAAGCAAGTGTTGGAGCCCCCCAGTATATTGTATGCAATTATGACTTCTTAATTCAANCTATATTTGTGGTTACTCTTTTGAACCTATCCAATTAAATCTAATTTAGCTGTAAGTACTCAATCTTGGATACCAATAAGCAAGTGTTGGAGCCCCCCAGTATATTGTATGCAATTATGACTTGTTAATTCAAATAATAACTGAAACCTTTTTATAAATTAAATTATATATTGAAAAATACAATTTACGATAACTTATTCGCCATTTGGAATTAAAATACAACCTAAACTTTTAAAACATTTAAATATGCAGCATTTAACAACTTCTAAACTATTTTTAAAAAACAAGTTTCACAGTTTCTTGAACGAGAATTATTATTAAGTTAACCTTTTTAATTTACCAAACTAGATAGCATCATAAGCAACAACCCATAAAGTTTTTTTTCTTAATGCAATCGGTGTTTTCGACGTAGTATATGATCAATAAAAATAAGCAAAAAATAATTAACTAAGAACTTTTACGGTTTTCAACTATCATAAAAAGAACCATTCAAAACACAAGTACTATTACTTGCTGAATTAATTCTAAAAAATCGAGTTTTATGACGACATTTTGCTATTCCCTAAGCTCGTCTCCAAAATGAAGCAACCGTAGTTTTGCTAATCGCTAAAAAATCGTTAACAAGTAGTACTTAAAAAAAAAGTTACTGAAAGTATATTCTAAACACCGATTCACGATATTCCCAAATCACACACAACTTACATTCTAGAAAAATCTAAGCCAGACGATAATTCCTCTTGAGAAAGATATTTCAAAAAAGATATGTGCTATAATTTCCCAAAACTAACATAACAAGAAAAATGAAAATTAATAGCTTAAATGAGGCAACTGGGACTTTAA